GGTGTCAGAATTACTTTGTTTCCTTATGGGTTTTGCCTTAGCTAATCACTTCTGGGGTTTTTTTGTGTTTTGTCTCCTTTAAAGGTCGTTTGTATGCAATGCAAACAGGGATGAAGATTGATAGTAAAACCCCAGAATGCCGTAAATTTTTATCCAAACTTATGGATCAGTTGGAAGCTGTAAGTAGAATTTATTACTCTCCTCTAAAATGATTCATGGTGTTACTTTAAGTTTTATTTAAGCTTCTGCAAATACTATCTTTTTTCTCTCATCAGTCATTGATGCAACTATTCTGTATGCAGGCATACTGTATGAATTTAAGTTATATGTAATGAATTGGCAGAAGGATTGAAAGGTGATAAAGCTTTGTGCATATGTATATTTATAGGTATGTATGCATGCACATAACAAATTTTATACAGCAGACATTTTCTGTAAGATTTTTGTTTAGACAACATTAATTATGATACTTTATTCATACATATTCTCATGAGAAATCATAATTCATTACAAAGCAAATACAGGAGTGCTGGAATACTCTTTTTATTGATTTATCTTTGATTCCTTGAAGTCCATGAGTTACTTTCAGTGCTTGTAGGACTGGCTATCCTGGTCTTTGGGTGCTTTTGAAATTTTTTACCTAAACTGTTGTACCCAGGGAGTTTTTTAAAACATTCTCTAAATGATAAAGATACTTTTGATCATACTCTTTGTTAGAGATTGAGGATCTTTACTATGAAGTAGGACAAGAGGTAATGGCCTCAAGTTGCACCAGGGAAGGTCTAGACTAGATATTAGGAAGCATTTCTTTACAGAATGGGTTGTTAGACGTTGGAATGGGCTGCCCAGGGAGGTGGTGGAGTCCCCATCCCTGGAGGTATTTAAGAGTCAGGTCGACTAACCACTTAGGGATATGGTGTAGTTGGGAACTGTTAGTGTTAGGTTAATGGACTGGATGATCTTCAAGGTCTTTTCCAACCTAGACAATTCTGTGAATTTTTTATAAGCAGAATCTTACCTATGTGGGTAAGACATAACTACACCACACTCTTTGAGTAGATCTGATAGTATTAAAAAGCAAATAACCTTAAATAGAACAGTGTTAAACAAAGGAAGGTAAAGTCATTGTACAGATAGTCAGTTCAAGTTCCAGGAGCTGTTTATGTTCATATGTTGTATTTTTCAGTAGTATTGGAATGTGTGGATTTTAAGGTTTAAATGATCGTTTGGAAGCAGAAAGTAATATTGAAAAATGAAGCAACGGTTCTTTTTGTGTTCTGTATTAATGATTCCATCCAAAATCTAGACATAGCAATGCCTGAAGAGTTTGTGTGAAACTAGTGCAACAGCCTTCAGTTCTTCAGGAGGGGAAAAAAAAAAAGAAACATGAATAATTTGTCTTTTTTTTTTTTTTTTTTTTTCATACCTTGTGCTTCTTGCTGTGTTTAATATTTAGCAGTGGAAAATCCAGTGCACAGTGACTTCTTGGTGTGTTATTTAATGAACTTTTTACATCTTTAATGGGTCTAGTTTCCTGTTCAGAAGGGTGGCAGAAGTGGTAAGATTAAAACTCTGACAGATTTTGCTCTTCATTTCGTAAGGATTAAAATTTGGTGGATCTCTTGTGGTACTGTAGCAACTGATCTGTCTGCAGCATTCGATTACCCATTTTGTTTCAAATTTGGAAAGACTAGGAAAAGCAGCAAAACCCCATGGTTTCATCTTTCAGTTGCTGATAAGGTTGTCTGTGTGACAGCTGATGCTCAGGGACTGGAGTTCCTTCTGCGTAGCCCGGTGGTTGAAGGATGGAGAGACCACTTCTAAGCAGATCTAATAGAGCATTTGGGGAGCTAGGAATCTTGTATAAGTTGACAATTTGGACCTCTGTGGTAGTTTAATAGCAGTCATTTTCAGTCTGCCCTGAACCAGCAGGGGGCACAAAGGATGCTACAGGGCTGCCTCAAATGTTTCTCAGCTTTCTGTTTGTTGTCACAATTGATTATTTTAGATGTTAAAACAGAAACTTACAAACAGTACTGAATCTTATAGTAGCAAAGAATAAATCAGCATAGATGTCTCTGGAAATTATCAGATGTGTTCTTTGCAAGAAACTTCATAATATTCCAGATATGTGAATTAAATAAATAGTGACTTTTGTATCCAAAATGCATACTTCTGTCACATATTTATACAGATGATTGTGTTGTTTTGCTTTTCCAGTAGGTAACTATTTCATTTAAATGTTTTTAGTAAAATTTAACAAAATTTGCTTGATTTTAGGTTCAAATTATAAATCATTTAAAACGTCAGTACCGCTGTACTGAATCATGGATTGTGTGAAGGGTAATTTCAAAAGTAAATAACTTGGTTAACTGTTTTTAGAAGCATATGTAACCAAGTGTCATTTGTACATTTGAAATCAGCTCCACTGAATATCAGATCAAGCATAGTACTAAAGTTATTTTCTGTGTTTTAGCTGTATGTATAGGCTGATGAACTATGTATAAACAAATCATTTTGTCTTCAGTTAGCATCAGTGTTTCATTTCAGTGATATATCTTGCAACTTACAAATTGTGGTACATTCACAAGAAAAACAATTGCACTTTGTAAAACAAATACTTTTTGCAAACTAGGTAGAGTACAATTTTGACAAAAGTCTTCAAATTTAAAGTTCTATTTGGAAAGTTTATATTTCAGTACTGAAATCAGGTAACTTTGCTGGCAACATTCTGTGTGTTTAAAAAGTTGGCAACAAACTAAAAAATATGGAAATGCAGCCTGCATGATTAAATGTTCTTCACACGCACAGTTGAAAATAACTGCCATTCAGAGATTGTTTTTAAATCTTTTGGCAAAATAAAGACTGCAGGTTAGTATCATGCAGTGTTCCTGTTTTTGTTCTCTAAGGATAGCCTGAGATTTCCTTATGTGCAAACAGTAAGCCTATTCAGAAGTTGTAAATCCACCTGTTGTAACTGTTAGAGGGTTATTTGCTTTACTGACTTATTAGGAAACCTGAGGATTCTTGTACTCTAATGTCTTTGAAAAGAGGTCTTTGAATTGCAGTACACTGCTTACGCTGAAAATTCCAGTAAATCCATAGGTCACTAGACCGGTCAAGGTAGGGCTCAGATGCCTTGAAAAATATAGTGAACTACAGTGAAATTAGCTTTACAAGAGAAAAGATACATGATCACTTTGACCTATAGTACCTTTATAAAGCATGCATTACTTTATCAGTTGAACTGTGCTGAATCCTGACACAGGCTTCAAAGTGCTTCATCTTTCACATAGTAAGGTGAAAAATACCTGTAGGTGTTCCTTCATGATATTGTAGTTGTGTTTATTTTTAATGTGTATTTTTATTTTTGCTTGGTTGGTTTGGGGTTTTTTTGTGATTGAAGACAGTATTTGGAGGTACTTGCTCATAGTAATTCTTCCTCCAAAAGAATATGCATACTCTGTAGTGCGTTGTTGCTTTTAGTGTTTATCCTGTTAGAAGATGGAAATTTGTGAAATAATTGAAGTGTATGTTGTTTCTTTTTTAAATTGTACTTGGCTTTATCTAAATCAGCAGCTTCTTGTGTTTTAATTAGATTGAAGAATTGCTAGAGTCTAATATGGTAATTAATGTATTTTTTCCCAACTTTTTTCAGATGAAAAAGCAATTTGGTGATAATGAAGCAATTACTCAGGAAATTGTTGGTTCTGCTCACGTGGAGAATTATGCCTTGAAAATGTTTTTGTATGCAGACAATGAAGACAGAGCTGGGCAATTTCATAAGTAGGTGAAAATCTTAAATTTTGTTATCTAAATTAAGATACTGGTTAAGAAATTTGAATATCTAAATTCTCTTTAATTTGACTGGAAATAGGAATTAGGCTTTAATACTTTCATTCCTCTTTCAGAAAACTAGATTTGTTACTACTTGTGTGTCTCTTGACTTCACACATTAACTGGTATTCTCCTTTTGTTCCTTACCTAATAGCAAGCTGCCTAGAACCCCAGACTAATATTGAACTTGACATCAAGCATGCTATAGTTTCTACTGCCCAGTGATATTAAAATAGTTGTGATGATTCATTATGTGGTTTGATTTACAGCAATTATTTCAGCATGTTGATGGCTTTTTCTAATATAGGATGTCCTATGTCCTGTATTGAACATTCCAAACTAGAATTAAGTGCAGAACACATGACCATCTTTAAAAAGTACTGAAAACTTTCTGCATAGTTGTCAGAAGACTAGTCAATATATTGCTAAATGTAAACATTGTAAATTCTGCAACATCAGGATAAAAGAAAGAAAAAAGTAGTGATGATTGGCTTGAAATAAGCCACTATGATCTAAATGCCAACTTCTAAAATGTGATCATGAGAGACCAACATTACCAAGTTAGTGACATGTTTTCTTTTTTACAGAAACATGATTAAGTCCTTTTATACTGCAAGTCTCCTGATAGATGTTCTAACAGTATTTGGGGAGCTCTCTGAAGAGGTAAGTGTTAGGGATATCAGTGTATTACCTGATTGCTTTTCCTAGCAGAGCTGAAAATTACTTTTTTAGTTCTGTGAAGTTTTTATAATTTGTGAATATAAACTATAAAGAACATAGGTTCTAGTTGTGTAGACAAATACATGTTAGTAAGTCATAAGGAATTATGTTAAGTATTTCAAATAAATTGTATGTGAAGTATTAGACAACTGTTATCTTTTAGAAAATGCTTCATAAGTATCAGAAATTCAAAGTCTGTTTATTAATGTGGGACACATAACATTGCATTGAGCAAGTAGGAATGATTATAGGACAAAATGATACAAAGTGGCTTTTTCCACCTTCACTTTTTTCACCATGCAAGCAAGAAATTTAGCACTAGTAATTAAGGTGGAATTGTGTACAGTTTTAGTTAGAATAGGTATTCTTGGTATTACAACAAACTCCACTTTTAAAAGGTGATAAGTTGGAAGAATGTGGATTTACTTCATAAAAAAAATGACTTGCTATCTGGCCATTAGGACATGAATATTTTAATTCAAAAAAATATCTGCTAAAGTCATTAACACAATGCTCTTTTAGTTCAAGTGGTCTTTTAATGAAACAAGTATTCCATAATTGACTAAACTAGATCACTATTACTTTTATTAAGGCACACCAGAAGAATCTCTTCATCTGTTTTAAAGCAAACTTTTCTGTTAGGTACATGGTCAGCTGTTCTCTATTATTCATGCCCCACAGAAGAATTAATCTCTGATATAGAGGAGCAGGTACTCTTAATAATGTAATCCTTGTTCTGAAAATTAAAAGTGAGATTTTTCTTGCTAAATTAACTGAATGAGAAGCTCGATTTGAAAATGTAATTATAGAGTTGATAACTTCTGGGGAAAAAAAAATAAAATTAAAGCTGCTACTGACTCATGAAGACAAGTTTCAAATCTTGTTAAAGAAAGGTTGAAATAACTGGGAAAAATAAATAAGAAACCGCAACAATGCTAAACAGTCTGAGAGAGAAATCGGCAAGTGCTGATCATGTAAATGCCGAATATGTCTCAGGACACCTAAATCCACACAGGTAATCAACAATTTTTTTGTTTTGTTTTATGATCAATTAGTTATGATTTTGTTTGGAAGGGACCTTAAAAAATCATCTAGTTCCAACCTCCCTGGCATGGGCAGGGACACCTTCTGCTAGATCAGATTGTTCAAAGCCCCAAACAACCTGGCCTGGAACACTGCCAGGGAGGGGGCAGCCACAGCTTCTCTGGGCAACCTGTTCCTGTGTCTCACCACCCTCACAATAAAGACTTTATTCCTTATATCTAATCTAAACCTGCTCTCTTTCAGCTTAAAGCCATTACCCCTCATCCTATTGCTACACTCCCTGATGAAGAGTCCCTCCCCATCTTTCCTGCAGCTCCTTTTAAGCACTGGAAAGCCACTCTAAGGTCTCCTCAGAGCCTTCTTTTCTCCAGGCTGAACAACCCCAACTCTCTCAGCCTGTCCTCACAGGGGAGGTGCTCCAGCCCCCAGATCATCTTTGTGGCCCTTCTCTGGACCCACTCAAGCAGGTCCATGTCCTTCTTATGTTGGGGGCCCCAGAGCTGGACACAGCACTCCAGGTGAGGTCTGAGGAGAGCAGAGGGGGAGATTGACCTCCTTTTCTTGTATGCTTGGGTGTTACAGACTTCTACACTTACTCTAGTAAAAATGCCTTAGAAACCAAAAGCTTTGTTTTTCAGACCAGTAACAAGCCTGTGATTGTTGATCCCAAACTATTCCATGGCCTGCTTGGATTTACAGAATAGCTCAACCTGACACCTGGTTATATAGTCTGACATCTAAACTCAGACCACCTGCATGTCTTTTCAGTATGTAATTGCTGCCTCGTGTATGGAATATCAGCTATTGAAAGGCTTTTAAATCAGCAGCAGAAGGCATAGGAAGCAAATACTTGACACCTGAAATCAGAAAATGGGTATTGTAATAATATGTGTATATTTTTAATTGGCAAGTGGTTCATTATTGGGTAGGATGAATGGATTGTGTCACAGTGGATGTTCAATATCTCAATATTCAAACTGTGGAAAAAGATTTTCTGGAAGATGTGCTTTACAAGGCACAGCTGACGGTAAATCAGTAAGAAGTGTTGCTGATAGTGCTATTCTCAATTACCTCAGTAATAGTGTTCATATGGTAGGACAGCCTTCCAAAAAGTGACGTCAGTGCACATTAAAAAGATACTAAAAGCAGGAAAGTTTAGGTTCTCATTTCTGGAATTACAAGCTTTACATTTGGGATGCATCAAACACTTTGTTCCCTTCTACTCTCTCCATCCAGTGTTTTGGTGGGGACATATTTTGGTCCATTTTTAAATACACGTTCCCAAGGGAACCACCAGCCTAGCTGAGGGGCTCAGCAATGTCCTGTGGTGGGGCTGCTAGAGCTGGCTATGTCCGGTATGGGGCAGCCCTGGTCTCTGCTCGCAACCACTACCCCTGCTGCCCCCTGTAGCCAGCACCTGGGCATGGACATCTGATGCAACAGCATCTTCACACTTTATCCCGAAATAATTGTGGCATTAGAACAGAGAGGAGATATACAGCTGTTAAATCTTGCATAATGGTCTTTTCTGGAAGTACAATATTCTGTATGTGTATTTCCAAATTTTGTGGCTTTTACTGTATTTGTGAATGATAAAAGAATTTAATCTGTAAAACTACCTGACCAGGAATGATTATTAAAAGAAAGTAGTTAACAAAAAGGTATGTTTTCGAATTGTACATTTTCTTTCTGAGGTATAGTGAATGCATTTTAATAAATCTATCATCAGGATAGGCTTTCTTCTGGAGAACATTTTATTTACAAAAACGAAGACTATCTTTCTCTTGGGCTGTGTGAGCACTCTGGTGGATAACAACATACTAAATATGAGCAAGAGAGCTTGCTGGAGATATCCATTATACTGCCACTCTCTACTGTGTTCTGGATGACAATGCAATATACTTTGTGAAGTACAATTTTGAATTTCACTTACTAATTTTCAAAAACTTTGGATGTAATTTCAGTCAGGACTTTTTAAAAGACATTATTCTGTCTACCTCAGTTTTCAAACCACTTTACCTGTAACTGTTACTGTGGAAGTTTGAGTTCACCAGTACCTTGCAAGTGATGATGTTGATGTGAAACAACCTGCATTGTTCACTTGGCCAAATTATTCTACTCATCCTTCCACATTTCTTATCTTTATTTATATTCAGCCTTGTTCCTTGAAATATATTTCCTTGTAACTGTTGGAACTGTTAAATTCTGTCATACTACTTTTGCCAAAGTAGTTGATTTGCATAATCAGTTAAAGATTTCTTGTAACAATTAAGAACTCTTCCTGAATTTAAAAAAACAGTATTGGAACAGTCTCAGGAGATATAAAGTGGCCAATCTTCTTTCCATATTTTGACATATTAAAGTTGTACCTAAGAACAGTAAAGTATATTTTTAAAAATTAAATTAAAAATCTCAAAATAGTTGAGATTCTGAGATTTATTTCAATCACTCATGTTTTGTGAAAATAATGTATGAAACCCCAGGTGAAATGCTTTTCCCTCAATTTCTTTTTTCCAGAAACTGAAAATAGTGAAACATCATGTTGTTTTTCTTTAAATACTGAAGTTACTACCACATTTTTTCAATTTCACACTGTTACCATGGAAATGGAATCAGAAAGGCAAGCAACAGATTTGCTTCTAAGTGCTATTGCTTCACATTGATACCATTTCAGAAGATGAGAGTTGCAAAAAATTGTTGACTGTCAATAATAGTATTCAATTTTTTTGAGAAGTATTAATATCTTTTATAATAATTGTGTTGTTAAACTTGTCATTAACAGTTTATTTAAAGTCATTATTATAAGTCATTGCTCTGCAGGTATTTTATGTATTGCTAAAGTCCTTAATCTGATTTTTAGCTATGCTACGAAGATATTAAAAATATTGTATGTTCTAGAATGTATATCCTCTACACACCATGTTAATCTGCAACTACAACAGCCTTTCTGTTTTCATTCTTTTACATAACTTTTTAAAATTTGATACATTTTAATTAGAAAAGATTTTATATTATTGAGTAGCATTTTAAGTTTCAGATATTTAAATCTAAAGTAAATAATTATCTAAGTTTATGCATATAGAAAGTTTTCTTTATTATTTCACATCAGCAGTTACTACACAGTGCTCTGTCTTTCACACTAGATGGTCCTGCTATAGTTTATTTCCCTGACATGCTACATTAGTTGAAGATCTCTGTTTTCCTTTCATGTTGAAATCCTGTTAGAGCTGTTCTTTTTATATTTGTTTTTTAATTCACTGATCAATTTCATGTGGTTTTTATCTTTAAAGGGGTGTCAGATGATGGAGAAAACAGTTTAGTTTTATAATCTCATCTCAGGGAGGAAAACCTGCTTATATTTCTGTTTTGAATGCATTAATTCACAGAAGTGAGTGGTTAAAATGGCTGGCCTTTTCACTTCCCCAGAACGCCCAGCACAGGAAGTATGCCAGGTGGAAGGCAGCATATATTCATAACTGCTTGAAGAATGGAGAGACTCCTCAGCCTGGGCCTATTGGAATGGAAGGAGAAAGTTTTGGTATGTCTTGCTCTTTTCTTTTTAAAAGAGCAGAGGGCTGGGCCAAGACCGAAATGGTGCTATACACAGTTCTACAGGAAGCACCTCACAGGATACACGGCTTCCTTGTTTAATGTTCCATTCACGATGGGCCACCTTCTGCTTTTTTATTCTGCTTGTCCTACTGTTATTTTTATTGGACCATACTATTTGATTGACTTAAAAAGATGTTTTATTAAATCTTTCCTCTGTAGTGGAGATTGTTATTTTGAATACAGCTACTTTCTAAGAAGGCATTGTCACTTTTGGGCTATAACCATGCATTTCCTTAATGCTACACACAGTCCTTCTTTTAAATCTGTTCTGTAAAGTTATGATCCCTTTCCCAGTTTATCATCTCTCAGAAGTTAGAGTTGAAAATTGATTGATTGTAGATTAATTCAACTTCAAAGCAAGCTGATCTCTCAGACAACCCCTTCATCCCCAAATAATAATGTGGTCTTCAGAACATATTTATGGCATACTCTTTTTAGATTGGATTTCCTGCTGCTTTTTCTCTTATCCCCCTTTTCCTTGTGTTTTTAGTCCCTGTGTTCTTCTGGCTACCTGAATTTCCTGTACAGGTTTCCATGAAATTACCTCCTTAACTGTTCGATAAAAATTGGTGATTTCCAAGGACACCCACTTACCAAAATGAATGTTTGTCAGAACAGGTTGTTTTAAACCTCCCAAATTACAAGTTTTACTGTCTTCTATTTAATACACTCAGATGTGTCTAAACTCTGCTGCTAATTTAAAAGTCCTAGCTCTTCACTAAGAAACATTACGGGCATCCAAACCTTTCTCATTTAGAACTTTTTCAAGACAGACACAACCACTGTGAGCAGGCACAAGCTAGCCTCTCCATGAAGTAACAGAACACATACTGAGCAGACTTTCCTACAAGAGCACATAGATCACATCCTAACCTATTCTGAGAAAGATGGCTCCATTATCTTATTTCATTATGTGCATTTTTACTAAAGGTAACTAAATCCATATTATTTCTAAACCTCATGTTACTGTATTTCTGAAGTATAGATCTACACAGACTTCACAGATGTGTGCAAGTTTTTTCAGAAGCCAAATGAAATCATATACAAAGCTTTGTTTGCTAAACTGCTAAAACAGATAAGTTTATACACAGAGCAGTAATACTATTATCATGCTTTTCAGTTATTGATAAAAGCAAAATATATGCAAAAGTAATTAATTTCTGAAATATATCCAAATAGAAATGGTATGTAATTGTTAAATTAACTTTCAAATATTTTCACCCATTTATTTTTCTATGGTTTGCAGTTTCTTTATGCTTAATGCTTTATGAATGTTTAATTATTTTTGCATTTCACCAGTTGCTTTTGATAGCAATCAGTTTCATTAATAAAGGTCTCCTAATTTTCCTCTCCAGTCCGTGCAGAATCTTGAAATACAAATTTTAAATGTAAATCTCTTATGGAAATAGGATGTTTTCAGAATGGATATTTTCTTTATGCAAGTTAAAACAGACTAATTCTGAACAATGATGATAATCTTTATGTGTAATTCTTCACATACCTAATGAAACAACTAAGAACATTAAATGATTTGAAATTTTCTTCTGAGCTGGTATATGAGACTTGGTGGCTTGAATGAATGTCACTTAAGTTGATGCTTATTTATCTCAACTTAAGGTTGAATTTAGTAATACAAATTTTTCTAGTAAAAAGGAATAATAAATCTACAGTACAAAGGAGGTAGATCTAATTTGTAAAGTGTGACTTGTATCTAACTTTTAGAGCCACCTTGTGGAGGTGGCTACATAAAGTTTTATGAACATATGTATTAATACATATGATCCATGTATTTAAACATCCACACATACACACACATGATGTATACACACACAAGTATTTATTTGTTTCTATTCCATGTTTGGGGTCTGTACCTGAGTCTTCAGTGGATTTTGAAGTCTAGATCTGTAATTTCAATATTTTATGAATAGGCTTGTAATTTTCTGCACATTGGCTTTATTTTAAACATGTAAAAAATTATACGACTGGTTTCTCTTACGGTTTTCAGTGTTTTCAACATGCAGTCTCATGTTTTGAAGCTTCTTTCCTGTTTATGAAGAAAGCGGAGGATGGGCATGACCTACTATTTATAGAAAGATTAAACTGGTGGTCCTTCCAGTAAGCTATAGCATCCTATTCCACTTGGCAGCCACTAGCCGATTCCTTAGCAGAAGACAAATGTGCAGCAGAAGATAAAAAGTAATAAAGTAGCATGAACAAAAACTCTCTAGCTTACCACCTTTATCAGACAGTGAACAAAGTGTAAGGAAGTAGAAGATGGGTAGTCTTACTCCTTCCAAGCCCATCTTTGTTAGAAAGTAGTATATTGCTTGAATTATGAGAGTTTTCTATTGTCCTCCCAATGTGAGCTGGAGAACGTGGCATACAAGGTGAAGTTAAGTGGGTATAAGGATAGTTCTTATTGCTGTCTTAAACTATACTTAATGAGAGAGTGTAGAGATCTAACCCAGACTGTTCTTGGACATGCATAGTGATAGGACAAGAGGTAATGGACGTAGATAGCAACAAGGAAAATGTTAATTATTAGGAAAATAACTTTAATAATAAACATGGTCAGATACTGAAGAGGGTGTCCAAGAGAGGTTATGGAATCTCCATCCTTGGAAATATCCAAAACCCAACTGGACACCATCCTGGGCAACCGGCTCTAGCTGACCCTGCTTGAAGGGGGCTTGGACTAGATAATCTCAAGAGGTCCTTTCAACCCCAGTCATTCTGTGCATAGAGCAGCATGATCCATGTTAGTGCTGCTATAAGTGAGGAATTGGACAAGGTAGCCTGCAAGGTATCCTTCAGCATTTTTATGATTCTTGAATAAAATCATTCAGTTGTATATGGAAAAGAGAATCAATGAGTGGAAAGGGGAGAGGGCCAGATAAGAGTGCTTCTGGGGTGCAGATTTAGCCAAAAAAGTCTGAAAAGTAGCTCTCCACAGTGTAATCTCTTATTATTTATATGTCCTGGCCACCAATAGATTTAAAAGAAAAAACTCTAAAAATTATAAAATACATTGTCACTATTTTTTTAATGAGAATGTACACCAAACATCTATCCCTGTTTATTCTTAGTCTTTATTCTGTTAAAAGTAGACAAAAGTGTCTAAAAGTCTTGGTGCCAATTATAATTTCCTTGCAGTTTCCTGGATAAAATACTGTTTGGATATTAATGCTGCAGAAACACTACAACATAAGTAAATTCAAATGTTTGTGAACAAATAACCGGTATGATACAATATGATTCCCAAGCTACCAGTTTATTCTTGTTATTACGTTTTCCTTACCTAAAGATGTCCTACAGACTTAAAACACTTTCTTACCTACTAAAATACACTCCAGTCTAGGCACAGCTATATTTGAAGTGAAGCATTATCAAACTAATTCCTTCTTCAACGTTCAATCTTTTTCAAAGCAGTTTTCTTAACTGCTGATGCAGCTGTAGTGAGAGAGATTTACAATGCAGCTCCAGCTGCAAACATCACCACATATTTGTAAGTCACATTGCACCAGTTTGATAATTTAATGGGGAAGACAACATGTGGGAAAACATCTTTTGTTATAGTAAATGGAATGAATTACCCAATTAAAAATGTCTAGCTTTACTGGTCTGGCTCATAGTGTAGTAATGTTTACAAAGCTCACCTGATGATGTGAAATGAATTATTAATTCTAAACAACTGCAAAAATAGAATTTCTAAGCAAAGATTAGATTTGCTAAAAATCTATGTATGCAGCTTGTGTAGAAACAATAATTGTTCCTCAGCAGCAACAAATAGGCTCTTTCTTCATTTTAGTAATATGAAGGCAAAGGTAACTGACTTGCTCAAGGCTGCAAAAGAAACTTGCAGGAGGGATAGTAGGATTCAGACTTCACTCAAATCATTACCATTCACTGCAGGTCATTACAAGCAATAGTGTGAATTGGTGAGGACTGTTATTTTCATTACCAAGATATGTCTACGTGCAACTTAAAAGAGACACAAATGCTGAGTGAGCCAAAATTTCAGTATGCTTATTGATAGGGAGCCTGCATTATCTATAACTTGGCAATTTTTTTTATTGTTGTTGAATTGTATTTCATGTAGTAAGAGAATTTCTCATGCTTACTTTCCAAGCAATGAAATGAAAAATACTTTTTGATGTTTGCTTTTGGAAATTAACTCCTTAGTGTAGGTATCCATAATGCTTTACATGACAAAGACAAATTTGTACAAATTAGTTTTTATTAGAAGAATTGGTAAAAAAAAAAAAGTGTCAATTCTTGCTTTGTGTATCATAAGAAGAAAAGCGGCATTGTTTGAATGTATGACTGGACCTTCCCCATTCCTTTCTGCTTGCTCATTTTCTTCTTCCCTTTGCAAGTGGAAAAAGTCTGTTTAAACAGAGTGAAACTAGGTCTCTGTAGCTTGACAAATTACCATTTTTTTCCAAAGTGTTATTTTCTTTGTGATTCTTGAAAACCATACTGTAACTCTTGTTTTTACAGTAACATAGGCATGCTTTATGCAGTCCTGCTGTTGGATTTATGGATGTTGTTGTCAAGATGCCACCATGGAAACCTTAAAATTACATACTTTATTAATGCAGTTGGAATACAAGTCTTAGAGTACACATAAAGGTCACTTAGCAGTAGCCCTAGGTCATCCAACAAGATTTTATACTAATGGAAAAAAAAAAAAAGTGTAATTTCAAATATGAAAAAGTATCTAACTGGTCATGGTATAGCTGTGGTAAAATACATTAAATGTCACCACTTTCATTGCAATAAATAACAAGTATTCTATATTTATATTACAGAATTCTAGGAAACCTTTATAATCCCAACTAGTAGAAAGAACAGTATATGAAAAGTTGATGAATCTTGTTGATGAGTCCATTTCTCAATGTTGTAGAAACAAATATTCACATATATATGTTTTTAAAAAGCAGTGTTCCAATAGAACCTTATGTTATGCGTATTTCAGCAATATCTCAAGCTAAAGACGAACAGTGCAGCAGAATGAGAAGATGTTTCTAATTTTCTGGACTTGGTGAAAACAGAAGTCCAGAGAATTGGAGAAGTCTGGACTCCTTAAAAATTTTGCTAGTTTTAAGTTTGGTGCTCTGGGCTGCTGAAGTTAGTCATAATGGGTGCTTCCTTACACTAGACAAGGGAATGCCTATTAAGCCTTGAGATTCCTCTGCTTATATGAAAGTATCTTTGGACAGTTGGTTATGGATCCAGGGGTATCACTCCACTTATTGAAGTCTTGCCTTCAAGAAATAAGTAATTTAAAAAAAAAAACACCACCAAAAAAAACAAGCATAGAGATAGTTTGGGTATACTGTAGTTCTGAGGAAAATCTAAAGAGCACATGGATTCATTATGCTGGGATCCAAGCACAAAGGCTGATGAGATTCCAAGACAAGAAATTCAGCTGGCGCTGAAACTGAATGTGAAACAATTGTGTCACTGTTCCACAGCCTCGTATTTCAGCATCCTTAAGCAAGTTGCAAGCTTTAAATTTTAGGGTATTACTGCTTTATGAGAAATTAATTTTCTAATTTTTGTAATGTTCGTTCCCATTCCCTGGAAAAGGTTTGTTTTTCAATAATGTTATGGATGTTCTAACCACCGAACTTAAAACCAGTTGTTTGATTTAAGTGTTGTTTTCAGCAGTCTGAAATCCTTTTATTTAGTACTACTGTTAAAACTTAACGAATACTGCAAGTGCATATCTCAAAATGGTTCTAATATTTTAATCTCTGATAAAGAATACTTCAAATATTTACTTTGCAGAAAGAATAGTTACAATAGTTTGATGAAATCTGAACACTTTAAACACCTAAGAAGAGTTAATTTAAACAAAACTACTTTTAAGTTTAATACAGGTTAACATTTGCCAATTGCATAATGAGGAAATCAAACAGTTGAGCTTGATCTTTTGATACGTATACCTGATTAAAATTATATTGCCCTTTTGTGAATTTGCTTCTTACAGGCACTCTTACTAAGGGTGGTCAGCACTTCTAACACTTCTTCTCGGGTTGCTTTGCTTCTGTTTATAACACTGCCAGACTTTAACCATTTGAGTTCATCTTCTATGGCTAGTGTTGCCTACAGCATTGCACTTTTACAGGAGTGACTAGAGACCATGAACTATGCAGTGAGGAAGTTTGAAGCTGAAACTGGGGATGTCTTGGAGACGAGATTGGGAGACACAAGTATGGGGCAAGGGGTTGCAGATATGGGATATGAAGCCCTGGTGCAGATAGGATCAGAATGGGACTGAAGAGCCAGGTAATGGCGACAGGAAGCTGCAGGGGACAGAATGAAGGAATAAATGCATTAATGGTTTAAGTCTGTAACTCTTAGTTGAGGTACTAAGTACAATAAAAGCATGTTTTCTCCCACTCCCTAATTCTCAAAAGTGGCTTAATTTTTACAACAGCTTTCCTAAAATACTAGCTTCAGTCAGACACCCAACATAGAAAATCCAACCATATGGCTACAATTTAACCAAACTATGAATAATTGATAACAGTGTTACAAGTAAACTTGGGTAGCCTTACCTTCAGACAGCATGATGAATGTGCGTAACTATTTCATTAATCTTACATATAGTAAGTCTCTGGGATTTTTGTTAAACTAAATTTTATTTTCTGGAACTGTTTTAAAGTAGCTTTCTTAGTTAACGCCAAAAACACTGAAAAATACAGCTTTCAACCAATGGCTTATTCCTATCATTACATTATTTTTAAAAAGGTAGCAAGTGTTTGCTTTGGAATCTCACCTCTTTTTTTGCCAGTTTTGACACATTTAATTTTATTTCCTGCATGTTCGCCACATAATATTGCAGTATGAGTTACTAGCAAGGGAAAAATCTAGTGCCTTAAGATATCCTTTGCCTTCCAGAATTCTGCCAGATGTTTGTTTGCATGTCAGAAATAGCTTCATAAAATCACAGCCTGAATTACTGGTTGCAGCAAGTGAAAGTAATTTTCACAAGTGACATACAAAAAATTTTACTCTGTTCTTTGTTTTTATATTAAATTTTGCTAGGAATTCTTGACATGCCCGAGACAACTTTGCTTCCAGGTTTCTTTGCTTTTTTAGTACTTTAAAATGAAGACTTTTGGTATTAGACTGTGGATTTGGGGATTTGTGAATGTATTTATTAGTATTTGAATGTTCTAAATGAAAGTAAACAACTACAACCTTGCAATAGAAGCCAAAAATATATTATTTAACTGTGTATTTATTAAAAGTCCAGTAAAAATGTCCTAATGACAGTACTGTTGATTATACTCCACATTATAGCCTTTTATTGTAGTAAATAGTATTGTGACTTAGAAGGTGTTTAGTAATTTTTAGTAAATGTAGTACCTGTACTTTTTCTGTGAGGAAGAGGGCCTCAGATGGGAAAAAAAATCTGATATTTGTTATAGTAGTATTTGTAATAATAAACTTCAGTTACTAAGCAGTAGAGGTGTTTGCATAACAGAGTCTTGTATAGTTGAAGATCAGTGTGGATTTCAGGCAAGAATATCTCTCTTGCCAGCTCTAGACATGTACAGGTTGCTTGCTGCCTTTCAAGAACTGGCTGTTAACAAAGCCATTCCCAAAACTGTGCTCATTCCATCTGACAGTATCAAACACACAGTAAAAGAAAAACAGCTTTTTAATACTGAACTGAACTCAAATTAAGGAGCAGAAATCAACCATTTTCTAAATTAACTGGGTCATTAGCATAATAAATTTGGAACATTAGCTTTCAAAGCAACATTAATTAAACTAGACTGGAACCTTAAGTACATAATTAAATTGAAAAATAATGCATATGTTCTTCGTACGTGCTATGAAATATATTGAACATCATTATTCTTATAGTGCAATATGTAGTCTAACTGTTCTAGATACAGTTATGACTTGGCCAAGCTGCATTTTGGTTTTTTGTTCAATATTACTTTCCAAAAGTTTGCTCGTTTTGCTATTTATTTGTGGTTTGTTTAATTGATATGGGCTGGAAGGATTGGCATTGTCTTTTCTTTTTACAAAGAGGTTGTAAGGCAAATACAGTTTTCCATATTGTGGTTCATGTATATATTAAAATACAGATCACTGCATATTTGTAGTATCTTGTTCAGCTACTGTGGATGCACTTCATGGAGGTATAAGGGAGTGTACTAATGAGACAGATTGCTTATATTCAGACCAGTAATGAGATGATCCTTCAATTTAAACAGATCTTTGAATATATGTGAGTTTATAGATCTTTATCCTGTGATCTGTTGTTTTTTACTTTGTCAAATCAACTGTAGGTGTTTTGGGTTGATAAATGTTTTATGTCACACTGTGGTGGCAATTTTTCTACTAACAAAAATTTGAAAGGAGGTTTTAAAAGGAAGCCTAAGTTTTCAAGTGTTTGTACAGAAGAGTTGCAGTAATTCCTGTTTTGTGTCATCTTGGCAGATGTTGAAAGGGAAGAAGCAGGGTCATCTTCTCTCCATAGTGGAACAACTCAACCAGCATCTTCATCTACATATGAAGCTAACAACATACCAACTAGTAATTACACTGGCATACATATACCACCAGGTGCCCATGCACCAGCTAACACTCCAGCTGAAGTACCTCATAACACAGGTATGTCCAAAACACACCCAAAAAATTCATGCCTTTATTGAGAGGCAGATTCTATGCCTCTTCCCATTACATATGAAGTAACATATAGGTATTCTATGGCAGAATCAACTTCATAAACTAACATCATAAAAAATGCAAATGGAAATATTATGTTTTTATGGTTTTGAAAATATATAATTCATGTTTTGGAGCACTTTGACAGAAGAGATAAATGGACTGAAAGAGTGAGTGTTCCTGCAGACAGAATTTTTTTTCTTCTCTAGAATTATGCATTGCAACATCTATACTATAAAGCACTATTTGAATCTTTCACTTGATAGTGAAATTATATGATTTCATTTCATTTTTAGCTTTCCCTGTGCAGATAGACTGCTGTTCTCTATGTGGAAACATATCCAACATAATGTTGAAGCTGTTACAACAACACTGTAACAATCATGCCTGATGTACCATTCATACTTTTTTTCTGTTTGGTTTATGCTTCTTTTCCCATGCAAGTACTTTAGTGTGGTTGACCTCAAACAATATTATTAATGGAAATTTTGTCCCTGTTGCTAAACATATTGGCTTCTCCAGCTGCCTTCTTGTTCTGTGTCATTTTTGGACTGAAAACAAGTTCTTAAAAATCCAAAGTTCTTCCCAGTTGCTGTATTAAAAAAAAAAAAAAGTTGTATTTAAATGATTTGTGAATACAACTTTTTCACCTCATGTTACCTTTTTATAATAATGTTTAATAAGACTAAAGAAGTAAAGTTCTTGATTTTGATCCTCATGATCATTTGATCAGATATGTTTCTGTATTATAGAACATATTAGATATCTTTGTTGCACAACCCTTCCTTTTCTTTTACTTTCTCATTTTAAAAATGCTTCACCCTAGGAAAAGTTCAGGATGGTCTTCTTTCCCGTTTATCAAGGGGAAATCCTTCAGATAGGTGGGGGTTTTTGGGTCTGGGAGGGGAAGAGTATTGTTTTTTACATTCAGCCTAGGTAAATGTTTAGCTCTTTGTTTTTACCAGATCTGAAAATTACAAGATACGTACCTTGTTGGAATACATGAATTCTTGCATTATATAGTTTTAATTCCATCAGTCATTCCATGAAATAACAGATAATTTAGAAAAGTGGTTAATACCATCTTCCTACATAGCAGATATTACAGAAATAACTTTGTTAGTCTGATAAGTTCTGGACATACTGCAAAGATACAGTTTTGGATCAGTGCAGATGAGACTGTCTAAAATGTGAACGTAGGCACAAGAATGCTTTACAGCGTGATGTTTTTTCTAGCATCACCAGTTCCCTTTTAGATCTAGTTAGCTTTTTTTATTCTCAGCAGTTGTTTTTGAAGAAATTAGGAGTTAGTTTGAAAGTGTGAGACGGCAGCCATGGGCTTTAAAAATACAATAATGGAGGCTCTCTGTGATATTTAAAAAGCAGAATTTAAACTTCAAATATAGAAGTTTACTCCTACTCTTCTTTAGCAGGTTTTCCTCAGTACTTTAGGATAACCAGTGTCCTTTGCATTAATATTTTTTTTTTCTTTTTTTTAATGATTGAAATTAAATTTCTGGGAAATACTGTACTGATGAAATGAATGACAGCCTCTGAATTCTTCTGTATTTTATAAAACATTCATAGTCTGAAGTGAGGATTTAAAAATTGTTGAAAACTTTTGGAATTGGGAAGCTATCAGCTACTTAATTTAAAAATCATTGAGTTACCAGGTTTACCTGTTGTATTTTCTTATTTTGTCTGCTTACTTTTAAAGTCTATAAATAAAAACAACCCAAATCCAATTTTTTGCATTGATTTGCAGGAGTGACAAGTAACACCATTCAGCCTGCTCCTCAGAATATTCCTCTAGTCGATCCTTCCCTTTACAGTGCTCAATCTGCAGGTAAGGTTGTGGCTTTTGTATTGTCTGTACATGGACATGCTGTGTCCTGTGTGTCTCCCCTGCACTGAAACAAGAAGTTTGAGAAACAATGTTATCATTACCTGAATGCTACTAGTTCAGAAATTTAAAAAAAAAAAAAGACACCATCTACACATTTTGTTGCCAGGAGTTTTATAGTGTCTGAAAGTTTTGCTACAGTGTATGATTAGTGTTGTTTGTCTGACTTTTTCAAACGAATGGGCTAGCGTTGTGTCAGGTTTTTTTTATGTTGTTCTCAGGTGAGGTTCTCAGCAAAGCCTATATTCCTGATGGCCCTGCTAAGTTGTATTTTTGTTAATACACATTCCCTTTACTTAAAATTTCTTCTACGGGGTCAGTATGTAAGTTATATATTCACTTCATTAACTAGTCATGACAATCCAGTGGTGTTCTGTATCGCAGCATAATTATGTGTGCTTGTTGATTATAAGTAGTACCTGTATTATATGAAATAATTTATCATGTACTGCTAATGATGTCATTTTGATGTAGCATTTAATCAAGGCTTTTATCTGTTAAAAAGCCATGTGTCTTTGATGTTAAAATCACTAATAACCTATATTACATGTATTTTATGTCTGCTTGCATAGATCATGCTTTGAAGTGCACACATAAATGCTAACCTTAGGGAAAACATGGCCTGTGAAAGAGTAGTGACTGACAATAAAGCTGGAATCATCCTAGATTCTAATTTGGACACTGATGTGCATTTGGACAAATTATTAACTCTTTTCTAAGAATTTTTCTATCTGTGGAATAGAGATAATAACAGGATGTTACATCTGTATATAATAATCAGGGTTTTGTTGGCAATATAACGTGGATGTTGAGTGAGGAGGAGGTCTAGAAGGCTCAGCATGAAATCTGTTCACACTCTACCTTATAGTTTATCCTCATCAGGGAAAGCTAATTGCATACCTAATTGATGTTTTAAGTTCCAGTACTAGATACAGTCAGGTGTTGCCTGTTATGACTACAAACTTTATATAGGTATATTCTAACTTACTAATTTAATTACATATTTTAGTTTATTATGTTGTTGAAGAGGGTGTCTATGTTAAAATACCATTTTTGCTGAAAAAGCGTTTTTGATTCAATGGAGTATAATAGGAATTCACTATTTAGCTTGATTTTAGTCATGATCCTCTAGACAGTCATTCTAACAGTTTTTTGGATGGCTACTCTGAAAATTTTAGTCATCATTCTTTCTTGGTTGGAATGTTTAGTTCTAGTTGTCAAAAATGTCATAATTTTGATTTAAATGTTAAATTCATTAAGTATTAGAATTTCCATTATTTGATTTCTAGATAGTATCAGTGCATTACTTCCTCTAGCCACTTAACTTGTGATAACCTGATTTAATAAGTACATAAATATAAATAAAAAGGAATGGAGTGAGTTAAGATACCCTGTGTTTGTGAGAATTCATAACTACTGTCATATAATTATGAGACGAAGACACTTGCTAAGCACAAAGATGAATCTCTTAACTTGAAGTATTTGCATGCCTGTATTCCTCTTCTGCACATCTGTTGTGTCACTACTAGTTTGGGTCTTGTAACAGCTTAAAGCATTACATTCTTAGGGAGTTTAGCAGAAGTGCATCTGAAGAGATGATACAGCTCACACAGATCCTTGGTTCTGAAAGCTTAGAAAATACACTGTTAGTTATGAAGGAGTTTGAGAGGGCATAAGGGATGTGTCAGTCAGCAGAGGTATAGTAACAGTTCTGTTTGCATGCATAGAATTAAGAAGCTTAAGAGCAATGGAAATTTTGTCCTTGCCTGTCACCATCCTGTCATGCATGCCTGGTCACTACCCAAAGCATCCTTCCTTCAGCTGTACTGAATGAAGGTAATGGCAGATATCATTCTTCTCATACTGGTGAGGAGTCCTTTTTATGCTAACAATACTTGGTTCCACAGGAACCTTGTTCCCTGACCTGTAAGTAGATTTAGAAATGCCTGTATCTCACAACAGACACACTAAGTTGTGGGACCTAGGAGCCCTCCCCAGGTCCTGAGTTGCGATACATACATTCAAGCTAGATCCTGGCTGCATATTGAGGTTAGACTTTGGTGTGCACCATTCCTATGGAACTGAAGTTTCCTTTGGATGGGAAGGAAGGATCTGTGTTGTGTTCCAGTAGATCCATAGAGCTAGCACAGTGCAAAGTACGCTTGGTCCATGATTTAGACATGATGTCTGTGTCTCTGCTAATAAATTAAACATGCCTGTAAATATTTCACAGTGAGAACATCTGGCACAGAACCACTCGCATCCATACTACTAAACTTTTAAACCTTTTAAACAAGGTAGTTTGTGAAGGCTGCCAATACTGAATGGTCTCTAGCCTGCTCTGACCACAAGTCATGCCCAGGAGTTGTTTGGGAAAGTGCTAGTTTGCATGGGCCAAAACCATACTGGAGTCTGTTCCAGCAGTTTGACAGTGTAGACAGTCAAGTTTGAGTGCTGAGACGCATTCCCTGGCACTGTTGAATGTTCTAGTATAGGCACAGGCAAACAGGATATTCCACATATTCCTGCAAGACTCTTTCTGGTAGTAAGATCAAATGTATATTTTTAAAATAAATTATGTTTTCTTTCCTTCCCTTAACATGCGAGAAGCAATTTGCTTAATGCTGTGATGGGAGGGAAACTTTTGATGGAGAAGAATGGAATATTTTAATAAAAGAAAATAAAGTAACAGCATTCCTTTTGATTTTAGTCAGCATGAGTCCTTCAATAATTGTCCTGTCCTGTGGGAACAGGTTCCATGGTTTAACACTGACTTTTGAAAGTGTCAGAGCTTGTGCATTGGTTAATGTCTCTGACAATAGAATATAGAGCTACACAGCAACTTTGTATAATGTATGTGCACTTCTCTGGTGTAGTTTGCTTAAAAAATTTATTACACCTAGATTTTGCTAACACTACATGCATTCATGGTTGTACTACCCAGAGTTTTTATAAAAGGTTCTTACATTACCATATGCTTCCTTCCACAGGTGTCATAGTATAGAGAAACCATATGTCCATTCTAGTTCTGTGTATAATAAATAATGTTCGATTTTTCTACACACAAAGTAGAAATAATAATTTGACATTTCACGTGTTTTCATGATCTTGAGAAGAAATCTTTCAGGATTTATGTTTCAAATATCTTAAGTGCTTTAGTGGGGAAAAAAAAGAGCATCTTGTTTCAGCAATCATTTCAGTTACCTTTGCCATCACTTTTTATACACCAAGCTGCATTATTAAAATGTTCTTCAATAAGCTGCCTTGTATTTGGGCAACTTCATAGAAAAGCATCTGATGGATGGAAAAGGATACCAGAGAGGAGCAGAACTGCTCTTTTTAAGCATCTCTAGTCAAATTGCCTTTTAATTTTCACTTTGTGTTCCTCTTAAACTCAAAGAATCATGCTTGTTGTTATGGATTCTATATGTCTGTCATATTTCAGTAATAGATATAACTACTGTGCTGCTAATTTCACATTAACGCAGAAGCAGGTTTGCTTCAGGATAAATACAGTATACTTTTTCCATCTCAGTGTTGCTGGGCTTTTTTAGAGCTTGAAATCAGAGGATGGTTGAGGTTGGAAGGGACCTCTGGAGGTCATCTAGCCCAACACCTCTGCTCTAGTAAGTGTCCTGTAAAATGGGTTGCTCAGGACCATGTCCTCTGTGTGTTGCCCTGCCCCTCCACTCTATCCATGGTTTAATTTGCAGCACTGAAGGAAGAAGTTTGAGGGAAAAAAATGTCACTGTTAATTCAAAAGACAGCTTTTGAATATCTCCAAGGATGGAGGCTCCATAGCCTCTCTGGGTAACCGGTGCCAGTGCTCAGTCATCCTTACAAGTAAAAAGTGTCTCCCAATATTCAGAAATACAAGACCCTCCTGCATTTCCGTTTGGGCACACCACCTGTCACTTGGCACCGCTTGAAAGAGCCTGGTTTCATCTTCTTTGCATGCTCCCTTCAGTTTTTTTATATACATTGATGAAATGCCCCTGAGCCTTGCCTTCTCCAGGCTGAACAGTCTCAGCACTCTCAGCTTCTCCTCACATGAGAGGTGCCTCAGTCCCTTCTTCATCTTTGTGGCCCTTTGCTGGACTCTGTCCAGGATGTCAATGTCTCTCTTGTACTGAGGAACCCAGAATTGGATACAGCACTCCAGGTGTGGCCTCACCAGTGCTGAATAAAGGGGAAGGATCACCTCCCTTGACCTGCTGGCAACACTCCTTCTAATGCAGCCCAGGACACCATTAGCCCTCTTTGCTGAGGACAGATAGTTGGCTCATAGACAATTTGGTGTCCACCAGGACCCCCAGGTCCTTTTCTGCAGAGCAGCTTAACCCTTAGAATATGTAAAATGAAGTCAGTTACTAGCTTTTGTGGTTATACCTGTGATGTAAGTACGGACATTATAGTTAAGTTTCACATTATTTTGAAACCCTAAGAACACAGAGCTGTTTTATTTCAATTCTGCGTATCCATTTTGGGGTGCTGACTTCAATAGGAGCTGAGGCCACTGAGAACATCAAAAGATCAACACCCTTACTGTGTAAACTTTGGTTTATAAATTTAAAATTGTTAACTTTTTTCCTTCAAGTTATGTCATAATAGCATCTGAAGTAGATTTCATAATAAATAAGGCTTTATGCCAGCAAAACATTAATAGAGCTCATACTGTAAAAATAAGATTAGACTGGTGAATTTAGGCTTCCTTCCAATAAATTAGTTGAATGCTGGACTGATGCCTTGGCCAGTTTTTAAAGAATGATTTTGTAGTTTCTTTTGGCATCATAGCATAAAGCCACTTCGAGGGGAGCTGGGTTTTTTTAATTTCTTAAAGATGTTCAGTAATGTGGTCGCAGATTGACCCCAGCTGCTTTTAGTCTGGGACTTTATTTAGGTTACAAAATAACCTAAGTGTGTGCCTGTGTTTATGCACTCCCTCACATGTATTTACTCACATGTGCATGTATTTTAAGAGACTTAATGTGGCTTAACTTAAATTCAACAGTAAACTAACATACATTGCAGTGATAATGAACCCAGCAAGTTGTCACATGCCTCAATATTCAACAGTTATTTTCTGGTTTTATTTATTTATTTAAGGCAAAATAGTAGACTTGTAATTTCATACATTTTTAAAATATAATCTTAAGAGCATTTACCCTTCTTACTTTTATTGGGGTAGGGTTGTTTTGAAAACCAGCAGACCAGTCTAGTTTTTAATATTCCCAGGTATTCCATTTTATTTGTTCAACAGCTGTTCTTCAGTAATAAGACTGGGGAAAGGAAAAGCAAATATAATAGACATTTTCTGATAAGAACTGAGATTCTTTGGTAAACATTCTCACTGTATTGCTAACAAGTTTTATTTTGAAAGAAAGAGATCCAGCTAACAGAAATTGTACCATTAAAAATGGATTTAAGTATATTCATATCCTGGCCTAAAGTTAGAAAACTGTACTTAGAGAGCTAAACCTTTGGTTAGCCAATTTTCACAGAAAATCCATGATGCATTTTAAAATTCTTTTTTTCTTAATCTGTGAAATCTGTTCATTGCTTATAGAATACTGTGGGGGAAACCTATTAAATGAATACATAATTCTTTAGTATTGCATATAATTATATCCATGTCAATAAAAAAAATCCGTCTTTTACAAGTTAAGTTGTTCCGAAAGAACGTTAAGTGAAGGTTTTGTAATTTATCCATAGGTTATTGGAGTGGCATGGGATTAGCCTTAAAACTCCCAGTGAATTTGTGTGTGGAAGGAGGGATGGTAACACAACTGTGCCTTACTTTATGCACACATTATTGATGCTGTTCGCATATTAAATCTTCTGCCAGTTAGGGCATAAGTCTCTGCTATGCTTTCTAGAAGACTGAAAGCATGTGTTTAAAAGCATTACAGAATTCCCAGTGTTTTAGTTAAGAAAATATTCTGATTAACAAGTTAATTGTTTTATAGTGAGAATATTTTTTCCTAGTGTTCTTCAGTATTACAAAAATGGTCAAATTTAATGGCATCAATCTTGTTTTCAGTCATCTTGCATAAAATTGGAAACATAAGCATTACTTGGATAAAACAGACTTACAAAATGTGCAAAAACATGCCAGTGAGAAATGTGTCTACTTTTTGAAAAGTTACTTAGCTGAGAAGGAACAGTTTCTAATTACGTATTATTCCTGAAGAAGAGAACAAAGTAATTATACTGTAAACACAAAATAGCATTCATTGTTTCTTGCAGGTTGTAATATGATTACAGCTAACATAGTGTCGTTAAAAAGTTCTCCTTTGCTGCCTTAAATGAAGAGCAGATCTTTCTCAAAGGTATTGACTTACTTTAGAAAGGCACTGGGTCGTACAAATACCAGTGTTTAGACAGGTCCTCTTATATTTTTCAAATGCCAGCAGCAAAGAAGTTAAACATTATATGAATGGAAAGAAAAGTGAACCGAAGAAACACCATAGCTTTGTCTTTGTAATATTACCCAAATATTAGCCTGGTTTTCATGATATTACTGCAAATATAAGTAAAATACAGAAATCGTGTGAAAGGAAGCCTCTGTCAGATTTTCCTTATAGTAACTTTGTAATACTTATATTTTTGCAGGGGAAGTCCGTTTGACTCCAGAGGACTTTGCCAGAGCTCAAAAATATTGCAAATATGCTGGCAGTGCTTTGCAATATGAAGATGTGAGCACCGCTGTGCAGAATCTACAGAAGGCCCTCAAGTTACTGATTACGGGCAGAGAATGAAGTCTTTACCTAACAGATTCATGTCTTTTGCCTAAGAAACTTAACAGCTTATTACTGTACCTGTTAGGGGAGTGGAGTTATACACGAGTTCTCAGTCCCATCACCCATGACAATGAAATCACTATTTCAATGTCTTACTAGCGATTAATGGTACAGTAGGAATCTCTTTTCGTTTTTACAAACAGTGGAGCTAGAAACATGAATGCAGTGGCTTGATGTAAGCAAAATACTGAAGAAAGTACTGTGTGAACACTGCTCAAGAGTTAGAATTCATCTTGCAATATTTAGGTTATTGGAATGAGAAAATGCTGAATCTGTCAAAAAACTTGAGCATAAGAGTGTTCCATTAAAATTCTTACTCTGATTTTATTATTTCAAACAATTACTTAATAAGTATAATAGCTTTAAAATCATAATTCAGATTAGCGCTTTCCTCCTGAAGTGAGAGCGTGTGAGAAGGCTGACAGATCCACAATGGGAAGGACTTTTTTCTGTAAACAAATTATTTGGGTATTATCTGAGGCATAAGTCAAAGTTGAGGGAAACTTGAGGACATTTGTATTTCATTATAAAACGTGCTGGAAAAAACATCTCTTGATATTTCAGAGAGTCATTTTGATGGTGTTCCAACCCAATCCCCCACAACTGTACAGACTGCTAAATGTATTCTTGATTATTGGTTCTTGCTCCTTTTGTGTGAACACTTACAATTTTGTATATGTATGGATAATTAAGAGAAAGTACTAATACTTCTCAGAGATGATCCTGAAAGCTGAGGCCGAGATTCTAAACAACATGAACTTTTAGGGAGATTTACCTTGTAGCTGTTTCATCTTCTTAAGAGACTGAAAAAAAGGCCTGTTCTTCAGTCATTAAAGCAGTATAGGTTCATCTCTGGTATTAGTGTCATAGAGCTTCTTATTTCCAGCTAATATTCTTCCTGTTTGCTTTGTTGTGGATACTTTTTGGACTTGGGATTTAATTAAAATATCTTGGAAACTGTATTTTGAGTCTTTATGAGGTCTGCATTTGCAATTATGGAGCTCTTGATTGTTAAAAATCTATCCATGCTGTTAAAAGAAAGAAGAAGTATCCTTTTAACTGGCATGACATAATAGAGTACACCATAAAGCATGTCTTATTTATGTAATAATTTTAATTACATAGTATCTGATCTGTCTCTCCAAGCTGTCAGATCAAATCCACATATTCGTTATAGCTGCACTGTTTTGCAGTTACTAAAATAAGTTTGATATTCACAGCAAAAAGATGAGGAAAAGAAAATCAGATGTAAGCATGCATTAAAGTTTAGCTGGTCGTATCCATTTAAGAGTGTAGAGTCTCTGACAGGTTTGAGAAGGGTGGTGTGAAACTTGTAAATATGTGCTTAAGTGTTTTAGTTGACTGAGGTTTAATAGGTAAAATGTCTAGTATTTGTGTTGCTTTCGATATGGGATAGCATGCTAATCTAGACAGTGATCTGTATTAGATTTTAATTGCTCTGGGAAATTTAGAATAAATCAGTCTGAAACTTTTTTGACAGTAATGCTGTACAGCCCTGGGCAGTAAGCCTGTGTTTTGTACAGTGAGTGCTTCATGTAAGCTGGATCCCTCACTTCAGTATCAAACTGAATTACTGTAAATTATTCCAGGTATATTATTGTGGTGTTACACTGTGTTTGGAAAAGCAGCTTTTCAGTTGGAAGAAGGATACAGAACATTGATCCGTATAGAAATACCTATATTGCATTGCTATAAAAAAATCAGAAGTTGCTTTATTTGGGGATCATACCACTACTTACTAATACCAGCTTCAGTCCCCAGCACTTGAAAGAGGAATGTCAGTTTTCCTGTTTCTATTTATAAAATAATTAAAAGAACTTTGGGCCTTTTGTATTATGTGGAAAAATAAGTCAAGCTGTGATATGATACTATATTAATTTGAGGCTTTTCAATTTTTTTTTTGGTGATTGAATGATATGAAATGGAAGTAAATAACTAAGAAGCTTGCAAGCAAAAATTTAAGCATTTCTTAAAGTCTATAAAAGATTGCCTGTTGGCCATGATTATGTTGAACCTCTAGGTTCCTCTAGGAAACCAGGGGATCATCAGTGAAAAAGCAATAAGCAAAGAAAAAGTCACAAGCAATTTTTTTGAGTGATCATTTATAAATGTGTAACCTTGTTCTACCTAGAAAGACGTTAAAATAAGTGTCTCCGAGGGGAATGGAGATGAAAATCCTAATACAGAAGTTTAAAAATTGTTTAGAGAAGCTATCAGGACATTCTTTCTGAAAATAAATTAGTGTTTAAAAGATTTAACATATAAAATTCTCATTAATTCTGTAAAATTAAACATATCTTAATACTGACCTTCAGGCCACAATACATGAATTAGCATATTGAGTTTTATTTTGCATAAAATTATTTTTTAAATAAAATTTTTTTAAAATTATTTTTTAAATAAAATTATTTTTGCATAAAATTATCATTTATTTTTTGAGAAGTTTTGTTACAGCCCATCAAACCATGTTTGATGTCACATCTTTAAGCTGCTAACATTTGATGCCACAGACTCTATCATCTAAACTGATGCCTAAAGTAAATTATAGCAAAACATTTCCATTCCATTAAATATAGCCTCTGGGACAACTTTAAATGTGGCAGATAGCCCAAAAGTACAAACCAGTGTTGCAGAACAGTTCAAAAAGTGTACATATCTGAAAATATTGGAGAATGTAGGTAGATAGTATGTAATTATTCCAAATTGGAATTTGTGGCCCCATTGTTAAATATTGTGTGTAATTTAAGTGTTGACCGATTAATTTTACAGCCATTCTGAATGATAAAGTATCAACCCATAGCTCCTCTTAACTTCCCAACATGTATGAGTACAATATTAAATAAAGGAAAGCACTGCTTTTGTTGCGAGGTACAGTCAACAACTCTATCTTCTTCAGCACAATTGCTGCCTACATGCTTCTTGGCCTTTCTCATTTGGATTGTGAGTTCTCAATCTTGATTAAGTAAGGAGAAAGTAGCATTTTCTGACAGATATTTCATGTTCAGTTTTGCTACTTATGTAAACTAGAATTGTAGTAAATCTGTTCAATGTTCTGTAAAAGGCTTTGGTATTACTTAATGGTTTTGCAGTTCTTTATACTTCCACCTCTCTACAGGGAAAGTTCCATATTATACTTCTGTATTCCTATAATAGTCTTTGAAGAGTGTTTTGCGGAGCAGGTATTGTTTATGAAATCATTATTTTTTTCAAATGTGCACTAACTGGATTTAGTAATACTGGAGGTGTTCTTTTCAAATTGTTGTAGTCATTTCAGGTGGACTTTTTAAGTGAAGGTCCTTTGTAAGTGAAGTTTCAGAAGCACAGACTTGAGGATGATCATATTCCAGGATGTGACTGTAATTATAATATTTGATGCTATGTAATACTTACCTACAAGAAACTAACAACAGAGAAGCTTACTGTCAGAAGTAGAGTGGAGGAGTGGTGGTAGTTTGTGTGCAGACATGTGTCTGTGCATTTATAATATAATGTATGTAAATTTAATGGTGGGCTGTAAGAATACCTTAAAAAAAAAATAATACCTTGTTTACAAGTATTGGGAAAATGTCAGATACAAATATATACATACTGCTGACAAATGTTGTTCTTAATACTAAACTTTAAATGTACTAGTATAGTTCCAAAAGTTAGCTTTTAATTGTGCAGTCTTCCGACTGAATGATTTTTTATTTTCTCCTTTTTCATGTCAACAGTAAAATAGGAGCCTGGTACAAAATGAATGAGAACAAAAATTTAGAGGAAGCTAGATTTACAAAAGATCAAAGATAGTTTCTCTTACTTTAAAGTCTTTGTGGTAATGTTCTGATTGAAATTGGCAAGTGCCCCTGCTTATAACATTTAATTCTTCCTTTCTTTTAAAATGTCCTTTGTTGTGCAGTTTATGAATTAAAGCCTGAGCCTGGATATCTGAATTAGGAAGACCTGAAGTTTGATGCTAAGTTTCTAAACCACCAGTTCATCCTGATACTGACAGCAACTGTTATTCACAGTCATCTCAGAGTACCTTTTTTAAAATGTTGGAATTTTAACCAAGTTTGTTGGGAAAAGGGGCATTGCTTTTTTTCTTATTGTGTCGCCACCTTTCAGTGCACAGCTGTAGTAACAAGACAACCTGAGAAGAGACGAATTTGCATATCACTATGAGCAAGAAAAAAATGCTATGTTGCCAGCAGAGCGCTCTCTGTCTCTGGTTTACAAAAGTATTGGAACAGTCTAATCATAGAGATTGTTCAGAACGTAATGCCCTAAATGATCTCAGAATAGGAACCTTGTAAATAAGAGCATCGAACACAAATTTGAGAGTGGAGCCATATGCCGGAATCACACTCTTCACAGAATGGGAGGGGGCACAGAAATTATTCCTGAAGAAACAAGAAATACTTACAGTCCCACATGGAAGCAGAGGCAGAGCAGTGACCGAAATGAGGTTAGAGTTGTTGATTGATTGATTGATTGATTTTTTTTTTTTTCTTAAGAACCTGGAAAGATGAGAAAACAGCTTGAGCTTAAAAGATTGCAGAAAGATAGAAGGAGGAACACTAGAATAACAAAAAACCCCACTTTTTTTAACCTCAAACTGGGAAAAATGTTATAGCACATGTTGACCTAGTTGAGGAAATGATAGCAGAGACTAAGTCTGGCTCTAAAAGGGAAGAAAAAACCCACAAGTTGACAGCATTCTGAAAATGGAGAGGACCTGATCTCATACTTGGAACCTTTGCGCTCATTAAATATGTCGTATTTCTTAATTAAAATTGATTTGATGTGACCCTTGTGGAAAACTTGGGAGACTGCATGAATTACTGCATTGTATCTGCAGAGAACTACAGAGATCCATGTTTGCCTTTAAAATGCTATCTCCTGATTTTGTGCTTTCTTACCTGTTTTAATTTGTCTTCCCTTTTTCATTGTATTTATTCTATTGTATTTATTCTGTGGTGTTCCCATAGCTAGAGGGAGGTTGTGGTTGAATACAAGGCTAAGTATGAGTGATAACCCACTTTCTTGGGTAATTTGGGAAGAGTAACAGGTCTGGGTTTTACCTGGTATGTGCTATGGAGAAAAACGTAGTGATTGCACTTCCCTCCTGAGCTTCTGAGGCTCTTTGGCAGCTGTATGACTACAATATTTAAATAAAGATATGGGGAAATTAACTCAGAGCCACATTCCCAATCAGAGCCCAACAAATTGATCTCTAGGAATTTGAGACCTCCAGCTAAGCTAAATTGGTGAAATTGTCAATTGCCTCAGATAACCTGTCTGTAAAATGGGCTTTTTAATGCTGAAGAGTAATGATAAAACAAGGGTTGCTTATTCCCAAAATAAATAGAGTTTTTATGAGAGACAGAGAAGGTATTAATATGTGATGAGAAGATGTACAATGAGAATGGAAGAAATGCAAAAAAACCCAACAGGATAATTTAGGGGACAATGGGCAGGAATTAGGAGATTGAGATAGAGTGTAGTTGTAAATCATGGACAGCAATTTATATATAGAGTAGTCATACCTAATGCAAATCTTAAAATGCTGGATGTATCAGAGGACCAACATAACTACCATTCTACAATACTGAAAGGAACATAAATCCAGTAATAAGAACTTTTAATGCATTTATAAGTTCATAGTTAGTATTTTACAGCAGAACACCAAATAAAGGAATTGTATTAGGAAAAAAAAAAAAAAAAAAAAGTTGTGATCAACTTCAGACCTCTTAGTTTAACCGCAAGATTAAGTAAAAGCTTACTTCAGATTCTGAACAGAAGACTTGAAGTTCAGACACGGGTAGGATAGCACATAGTATGTTTTCTTCTAGCCCTTTCATTCTGCCCCTCACCCTGGGTGGTTTGGGACACTAAGCTTTTAGAAAATGAATGTCACAAATTTATTTACTTAAAATGAAGTAATGCTTGACATAAGACC